TTTTTGAGACCGGCCGCACCGCGCTCAGCCAGTGAGCACCGGCCATCCCTATATAGGATCCGAACCCGCGGCGGGAGCACTGCCGCACTCCCAGCACCGCACTCTCCCCAGTGCACCATGGGCTCAGCCCAAGGTTGGGTCTTAATTTGAGATTAGGGTTCAGACCAGGATCGGGGTTCAGCTTGGATTTAGGGGCTCAGTCTGAGTTTGGTTTCAGTGTGGGGTCAGGGCTCAGCCTGGGTTTGGTGGCTAAGCCTGGGGTTGTGTCAGTCCAGAGCTGGGGTTCAGCCTGGCTCCAGGCTCAGTTCGTAGTTAGGGGCTCAGCTGGGGCCCAGAAATCTGCCTGGATGTGGGGGCTCAGCCACAGCCAGGAGAGGGCTCCGAGTCATACAGATCAAGCCAGAGGCAGGAAAATGGGCAAAGAGGCAGAAGTCCTCAGCAGGGACTCAGTGGACAGAGAGACTGAGCCAGATCCCCAAGTGGCCTCGGGAGCCCTGCTGGAGACAGAAGCCTGTGTGCGGGGGCCACTCACAGCCTGGGCGTAGGCACTGTACGGGCTGAAGGGCAGGGTGAGGGACGGAGTCAGGATGCCCAGCTGGCCCACCATCTGCTGCATGCGCCGTAGCGTCCGCTCCTTGTCCGTGTCGGCAAACTTGACCACCAGGCTGGAGGAGGCTCCCTGCAGGGACAGCAGCAAGCAGAGAGGGAGGTAGCCAGGACTCTGGGGTCCTTGGAACCACACCAGCTCAGGCCCCTTGGATGAGGGCTGTAGATACCCATGGCTGTCACCCATGTCCATGGGGCCCCAGCCACAGGAGTGGGGTCACCACGAGCACAGCATGGACATCAGCATCCTGAGCCTGGCAGTGTGACTGTGCAGCCACCGTCTGCACATGGGTGGCATCCAAGTCCAGGTCAGGTGAAGGACCCTGTACCTGTAACTCCACACCTGAGAGCAGGTGAGAATTCAGCTAGATGAGGGAAACAATGGGTCCCAGGTGGAAGATGACAACTGTCACCCACATCTGAGAACAGGTGAGACTACAGCCACCACAGAGGAACGAAGGGGTACTGGAATATGGTCCTAGGACTGTGCCCTCCACAGGGAATCTAGCCCCAGAGTTTTGTGCCCTGAACAGGTGGACGAGCCTGTGACTCACCAACCCCCACCAGTTGAGAGCAGACGCCAGCCACCAGCAGGCAAAAGAGTCCCTTGCCTCACTGGTGCACAGACAGGAACCTATGTGAGCATCACCCCCACCCCTAGCAACAGCTAGAAGGTACACCATGACTTTGGGGCTGGAGAAGGGGCACATCTTTCCCTCCAGCCATCTGCTTCCTGGTGAGCTCCTGCGGCCCCCCGTCTTCGTTGACATGCCCCGGTTGCTGGAGAACTCACTCCCTGTCAGGCCTTCCAGGCCTGTCCACAGACAGCTCTGAACATGAGAAAGGCTGACATTGTGCTAAGCTGAACCCTCCCCTCCAGGTGTGCAGAGCAACTGAGAAAAGAGGACTGGTTCTTCAAGTTCCTGTCTTCCCTGCAGCAGATTTAGACATTTATGTGTGGTGACAGTGGCTCCCAGGCCTACTTCCTCCAGGGAAGGGACATACCCAATGCCTCAGTGGTCCTTCCCAGCCTCTCACTGCTGCAGATCCCTGGGACCTGTCCCCCTACCCTCACCCCCACCAGTGTGGCAACAGGACCCATCCGTTCAGTCTTTTTTCAGACCAGCTCTCACTCCTGTCTGTCTGGCCCCCACTCAAGCCTTGTCCTCCCCCATCTGGACCTCAGCTCAGCCTCCTCCCTGGGCTCCCAGCCTCCAGTCTTCTCCCTACTCATCCCCCACATGGGCCCCAAAGGGATATTTGCACCTGGCCTGGCCTGTTCCCTCCCTTGCTCTAAACCCTCCGTGGCTCCCCACTGCCCTAGGAGAAAGCCCATGTGCTTCTCAGCCTCCAATTGCAGGGCCCCCCAGCCCCCTCTTCTGCTGCTCCTGCAGGCTGTCGGGTCCCATCTCCCAGCCTTTGTCCCTGTCATGCCCCCTGCTGGCCTCAGCAGATCTAACCCAGGTCTTGTCCCCTCTGTATGCCTTCTGTGTACACACACATGCGCACAATGCACACTCGCCCTGGCACATACCTGCAGATGCACACGCGTTCACTCACTCCCCACCCAGGCACTCACATGCTTACATGCATGTGCTCACATACACACTCACACCCATGTATGAACATACATGCACACTTGCCCACACGTACACACTTGCAGTACACCCGTGCACACCCACGCACCTTACCCACACTCACACTCACACGCACTTCTCCGCACACACACATCCATGTGCACAATCTCACACACTCGCATGCATGTACCCGCTCACCACAGCCAAGGAAGGCACCTAGTTCCCCACTTGTGCCCTCTCTGAAGAAAAGCCAGGCCACCAGATGGCTGCGATGGTAGGGACAGGACCCGTTTTGTCCCTGACCACTCCTTTCCCATGCCCATCACCATGGCCAAGGGCAGCTCCTACTCACCGGCATGGTCTGGCTGCCATGCAGGGCGTGGATGGCCGCCTGGGCCTCCGTGTGGGAGGAGAACTTGACGAAGGCACAGCCTGCTCCAAGAGAAAAAGAGGTGAGGGGCAATGGAGTTACAGGACCAGGTGGGCAGGGGCCACAGGAAAGGGGAGCCCTGAATGGCCAGTCAGTGTCAGACCGACACAGCTGGAGGGTTAGACAGTCGGACAACAGAACGACAGCCACGTTCAGACAGGCATAGAGAACAGCCATCAAAGCCACCAGACCCAGATAGTTATAATCAGATATGCAAAATTAAAATGACAGACAATCCAACAGAGCTGCAGAGACATACAGCCCTGTGGGCACAGTCAGACAGAGATACATCAGACCCAAACAGATACACCCATGCGACCAGAGTCGGACAGAGGGAGATCACAAACCACCAGGCCAGCTAGACAGTCACACAGGCCGTGTAAGGCACACGGACTACCAAAGACCACCAGGCACAGTCCCAGACAGGCAGGGTGCTATGAAAAAGCCAGGCAGACTGTGAGGAGTGGTGGTAAAACCATTCTGAAATTAGACAGTGGTGATGGTCGCACAATTTTGTGAATATACTTAATAGCATTTCATTGTACGCTTTTAAAGGGTGAATTTTAATAGTATGCAGATTATAATTCAATTTTATAAAACAGTCAGGCCTAGTGAGAGAAGATAAGGGCAGAAAATGCAAATAGGGGTCTGTCCCAGACAATGAAGCCAAATAGGGAGAATCAGGTAGACACACAGACAGAGGCCCCCAGACACTTGAAGTCCGCAACAGACACACTCGTTTGGGTATTCAGGCAGAAAGACAGTCAGAAACCAACAGACTCAGACAGATCCTGATGAATCAAAGACCACGGGACACAGGCAGCCCCAGACGATAAAAAACACACAAGAAGAATCAGGTGGGACCATTCTCTGCTCCGCCCCACCCCTGGAGCTAGCCCCGCCCCACCCCGAAGCCAGCCCCTCCCATCAGCCCCGCCCCCGAAGCGGCTCC